TGAGGATTACAAAGCACACTTTCTATAATACAGTTACATTTGGTTTGCTTTAAGAGGGTCAACAAAAAATATAAAGGGAAATGTTTTACTGCCTCCCAATTCCTGAACTACTAATTAAACTTTAAAGGATAAGGAGGATTTTTCTTTGATCACTAGAAAATGAAAAATGTTTTCTAAAGGTGTAAATACATGGAAATCTGAAGACATTTACTGTGGGAATCATGCCTTCACTATTGTATGGATCTATGCACATCATAAGTCTTTCAGTACCTGTCTGAAATAATTATTCTTATATTTTTCCTGCACAAAGAGACTATATATACCAGTAAGGATTGAGTCTTTTGACTTCAGTGTTCAGCATGATCAATTATAATTCTTCAAAATACATTTTTCTGAATTAAAAAGGATCACTAATCTGATCCACATAAGCTTCAATGCAATGAAGTTTCCATGTTCCTTTTTTTTTCTGTTGGTAGAATTTATGCAGAACTATACCCGCCCCCCAAACCATGATCAGTCAACTTCCTAAGCAGCCAAAATTCTTGATGGTCAGTTTGGTTCCTGATTTACAATGGTCCAAATGAGAATTTTTCAAATTTATGATGGTATGAAAGTTACATGCATTTAACAGAACCCATAGTCCAGATTTTTTACCTTTTCACTGTCTAGCAGTATGCGGTACATTTTCTCAGGTGCTAGGGAGTGGCAGGGAGCCACAGCAGTCAGTCAGCCCTGTGATCACAAAGCGACAAGCAACACTGTCTTGCCAAGCTACAAAGTCAGGTAGATGAGATATATAAATGACTTATTTGACTTATTTTCAACTTACAGTGTGTTTACCAGAAATTGACACCTGGTTAAGTTGAGAATTCTGTATTTGAATTCACTAGTGGATCTGCCTTTTCAGTCAATCTTCCTTTCAAGCAATAAACCACAATCAGGGCACAGAGAGCTAACATAAGGTCTAATTTTCAAAGGAAAGACAATGGTGAAGTTAGTGTTAGTTATTTGAAGCCTATCCCTAAGAGAGAAACACAATCAAACAAACAAAAGATGGCCATTCCCTTGTTTAAAAACAAGAAAAAGAGGACACTATGAATAATCCACAGGAGACAAAGAGAAAATAGTAAAAAGTAAAACCGAGAATCAAAATTCTTTTGTCAGAACAGGGAAGAAACTTCCAAATACTGTACATAGTATCACTGTGTGACAAGTAAATTATCTTCTGCTTAATCCCCAAAATAATCCTTTTCTTTTAAACTGTAACTTACCTTCTATTATTATATTGCGTATTACTAAAGAACAACTTTACATTTGTGGTAAAGTCAAAAACCACTCAAGCAGTGGTCTTAACCACAATTCAAAGCTTAAAAGATGGCTTTCTGCCAAAATGCATCTGAGCCATTAACCTGTCAACCAACCTGCCTTTATACACGGTTGGAACACAACAGCAGCTCAAGGAGCTAGTATCTGCTCACTCAAACCTCTCAAAGGCCCCGAGGTTCTGAAAGGGGAGTAAACCACAAAGGAGCACAGGAGTTGATGATGGTGTAAGATATGAGTACAAGCTTGAGTGGTATTTATCTGCAGCCTAATGCTTTCATATCTATCACAGTCTCTGCTCAGCACATACAAGCAAAACTTTTGGAAGTGAGGTTGACCAGATCACCAAGCAGTGATTAAAAGTACAGCATCAGTTTCTTAAGGTAGTAAAACACTAGTAAAGGAGGAAAGGCCGTAAGGATCTAAGTGAAACAGATAGCAAAACTTTTGCTTATACTTGACTTTAAGAATCATTAATGTTAGAAGCCACATAGTTGAGCAACAGTGTCACTGGTCTTCCACTAGCTTTGCTGTAGATAACACCTCTATATGTGAGTCAGGATAAGGGTTGTATAGGTTATGAAGACTACTTTTGTTGAAACCACAGCTCTTCACCTAGGCCACTATAGGTGCATAATGGAAGACTTCTTTGACATCAGAGGCCAAATTCCTACCTGTAGACCATGCGAATGTCCCCATTTTATGAACATGAGTCCTACCAAGATTATGCATATGCAAACTACTCATCACTGCCAATCCCCTCTTCCACACTTTAAATTATCTTGCTACTTTACTTCATAATTTTTTTTTTTGTCTTTTTCTTTTTCATCAGTACCAGGGATGGAACTCACGACTGCCTGAGTGCAAGGCAGGCGCTTATGCCACTGAGCTAAATCCCCAGCCCCTTTACTTCATAAATTTATATCACCAAGCAGTATCTGTAAGGTGGCAGATCCAAGATCTGTTTGTTTTTTTTCATACTTGGTCATTTTTTTTTTTTCATACTTGGCACATGTTTTTCCTCAAAATTCTCTGTTTTTTAGTGAAAGGCACACTGAGCAATGAGTTGAGTGGCGCTGAGGAAGACCAGGATAAGGCCTCCAGTAGATGTGGAATTAATTTTACTAGTCTGGGGGCTGGGGATTTAGCTCAGCGGCATAAGGGCCTGCCTTGCAAGCAGACAGTCGTGAGTTCAATCCCCAGTACCGATAAAAAAGAAAAATACAAAAAAAAAAAAATTTTTTACTAGTCTGATTCACTCATATTATGTATTTACTTGGTACTTAACTATATTATAAATGTAAATATGCAAACTATGAAACTATTATATTATGGAGTTAATTTACTAATTTACTGTCTGGTTCACTACTTTAAATTAAACTTATAGATGCACTCCACTGCAGTAATTTTTTAATATTCTTCTGTTGCCACTTCACCACAGTACCAATTTCTCATTCTTGACCTCCATCACAAGCAACTCAGTAGCAAATGCCATTAACTACCTTTCCAAAATTTGTCTTATTCCCTGATTCCATAGTTAGATAAAAATCTCATTACCACTTATACACATAGCTTTCTATATTGTCTTCATATAGTTGAGAAAACAAGAAATACCAACAGACAATATATCTATTTACATATTCTCTTACTGAAATCTCATCAACTGTGAGAGTCAACATTTAATTAATTATTTTTAATCTAAAGAGAAAGCTGAAGCTCATAAAGTCATAAGATACTAGTGATCACACACTGATCTCACTGAGAATGAAGAGTAAGAGTCCCACAGACAAAACATACAGGGAAGTGACACACAAATCACTTACCTTCCTTGCCTTCCCTCAAAATACACCTTCTCTTCTTGTCCCCTAACACACTGGAAATGTCCATTCACTTTTCTCATTAAAAACTATTTCTCATCTGGGTATTTAATGTTTCAGAAAAATCACTTGTTACCCCGTGAACTACTACTAAGCAAATCAAAATTGTTGAATATTAAGGATAAAATATAATAATCCAACCAAAAGATATGAAAACTGTATGACTACATAAACCCAGAAAATCTGTGTTAAAAGCTCTAGAGATTAATCAAACCCAGAATTTTTGAAGAATTATAAATAATCTAACAATGAAAAAAATGTCAATCTGCTTCCACAATAAACTGGACATGCAAAATAGATATTTTAGGCTACACCTTTTATGCTGACCTATCTTTTAAGTGGCAGACATACACTTTTGAAAACTGGTCAGTTAAAAGCTTGAATGACTATAATAATAGCAAGTAATCTGTAAAAAAGGAACACAGGCAACAGAAACAAAAAACATGAAATTACACCCTTAAATTATATTATTATTTAGATCAATTGTTTTGAAATGAAACATTATAAACAGATATGAAATGCCTAAAAAGTTAATTCTGTAAAAGAGGGGAAAATGTAAATGAGCTGGTATTAACAGTACAAATCTTACAATAAATGAAAAGGAAACACTTTCACCAAGTCCAAATAGCTTAAGCAATGGTTAATTTCCTCACCTTAAGTTCATTTTCCCATGAGAACGCCTCCCAAAGATACAGTGGTAAAGCTTACTATCACTTGCTTTAAAAATAACAAAGGTTCTTTCTGAACCACACTAACACTTCAAAAAAGCAGTGATTCCACTCAGGAAGCTGAGGCTGTATGACTGCCAACTCAACGCCAGTGTAGTCCAAACACTTATTTCAAGGCCAGTCTGAACTATACTGCAAAATACTGTTTCCAAAAGGGGGGAGGTGATTCGCATTCCCAGGGTCTATGAAGGAGTGCTATAACACGGGGCTCTCAATATACCTTATCAGTTCCTTCACAGTGTTTTCTTATTTAAAACTGATAGGAAAACTTGTATATACTGTAAGCAGGTTTATAACAATTTCAATCAGGAAATTCTTTACTGTAACAATAATCTACTAAACCATTCAGTTTAAACCAATAATGTGGTTAACAAATCATCTACCTGTACTTTTGAAATATTAGTAGTTCTGGGTATGTAGAAAAACTTAAGATTAATGTATTCTAATTAATATATAAATCTGAACTTCAGAATGAAAATCCAAATTGAAAGGAATCATTCTTAATTTTTTCCTCTTAACTACTGTCAAGGTTTGAATGTGTCTACCAAAATCTATGTGTTAAAAATTTATTCTCCTAATGCAACAGTGTTGGGAGGTAGGGTCTAATGGAAGGTGTTTAGGTCACAAGGGCTCAGTGCTCTTCAATTCTTTAATATTGCTGCCTTTAAGAATAGATTGATATTATGAGGGACCTGTTATAATACTGAGTTTGGCCCATAATAATTTGTTATAAAATCAAGTTTGGCACATAAGAATTCTTATGTGATACCTTCTACCATGTTATGACACAAAAAAGAAAGGAGGACCTCATCATATGTGGCCCCTAGATCACGAATTCCTTCAGGACTATAAGAAACAATTTTATTTAATATTTAATTTTTATATTTTATATAAAATATATAATTTTAATATTCAATATTTAATTTAATATTTATTATCTCTGTGATTATTAATGTGGACATCTGTCAATGCCCTGGTTTGGTTATAGTATTCCTCAAGAAGTAATATCATTCTGTTCTGGCCATTAGCTCCTTCTCTCCTCCACCCCAATTCTCAATTTCATGCCTCTGTCTAAACCCTATCCATCCACAATAAAGACCAGGCATGGGCATGGGCTGAGATGTACATCGATGGGCAGGCTTACTTTGCCTTCTTTTTCTATACAATCAGTGTAAGAATAAAGCCTATGTAAGCACCCAAAGGCCCAAAAGCTCTATTTTGAAATAGAAATATTGCTGGGTCAGCTCTTTTACCTTTGGACAATCTCCTAGGATTGAAGATTTATGCTATTTTAATAATACCCTCATCTTGACTGGCCCTTGATCAGCTCACTTCTTATTTGATCTGCTCTGTAACTCAAAATTGACCTTATTCAATGTTCACATTATTCCTTTGCAAGCAGAATGCAAATTCCTTTGTTTGTTCAAGTTGCAAGGAATAAGGAGAGGGAAAAAAAGAGTGAGAGAGGAGCTCAGGAGTACAAAGAGGGGACAGAGAACAAATGGAGAGAGAGAACACTGGAGTCAAGGGAACAAAAACAAAAGACAGAAGAGAAAATGACTCTTTGAAAGAGTGTAGAGCCACCAAGCCAAAGAGAAACAAAAGCGAGCACTGGAGGGTCTGGTGGCCATAAAAAGGCAATTGTCTATCTCCTAGCAAACCAAATCTGGTCAGTTCCAAATATGGAAATGCTTTAGCTGGAACACACAAGTCTTCTGTGAATATAAGCACAGATCATAGTCTGTCTTTCCTTATAAATAATTTCCCACTTGGACATCCATTCATTGTGAGAAAAATCTGTTGAGTTATTAGGTTAACTATTTCTATTTTGTTCCCTCAAACTTCAGGTCTCCCTAACCAAAACTGAACAAAGAAACAGCAAATCTCTTCAGTACCTTAATAGTTGTTTTACAGCTTTGGTCTCCACATTTGTGAAATGGGATGCTAGAAAGCTGCTGTGGCGTACGGGTTTATTAATGCAAAACATTTGCTAAGGAATCCCTCAAACACGCTTAAATTTCAGATCTGGGAAATCTCACAAGAGTTCAATAATGACAAATTTGTAAAACAAATAATTTCAAAATAAAAAATACTTCTTTATATGTCTAGTCATTTTTTCCACTTTTTATAAATTAAGAGATTGGTAAGTGTGTGGCCTGTTGGTCATCCACAGTATACACGCATGTCTTTAAAACCCAGTATTACCAAAAGTGTATTCATTTGACAAAAATTTCCTGAGTATTTGCTATTCAATGTCCCAAGGGTTAAAAACACAAGCTGTTAATAAGGAAAAAGTAGCCGATTTGGAAACTATGGCAAAGATTGAAAATTGCCTCCCTGCATAGGGACCGACTGTGCGTGTATTTCGTGCTTGCAGTGGATCTTACTGCTCCAAATCACCTTTGCTTCACAAATATGCATCCTACCTGCCTCTGCTTCATCTCTGGTCCAAGTTAGAATTTTTCACTCTGAAGTTAGTTTTTCCACAGGAATTTCAACAATAAAGGAACTATACAACCAACAACCACACATACAGACACACATTCTGATCACCTTTGTCACTACTATTGTGATAAACAAAAAACAAAAGCCTTCCATCAAAGTAAATGCTTTTTCAAAGAGTTCTATCCTACCTTTCCATTCTAAGTTTAACCCAGGATTCCTCATAACAATTAGGAGACAGGAAGAAAAAGGAAGTCTTCATGACCATAATTTCCAGAGCGGTATATTTACAGTCATTATTTTTAAAGATTATATGCCAACAGTATAGTTATTAAAGCAATTCTCAAAGCTGGTCCAGAAGGTCACTGAAGATTGACATTCTCTTACTTCACAGCTCCCCCTCAATGGCTGACAGACTCACAATGCTCACCACATCACTCATGAACAATGCACCTCATCTAAGCAACAGAGTAGGCATTTTGAAGAAAGAATGAACACGTATTTTCCTGTTCATCTGCAAGCTTTCTTCATAATGCTCTGGCAGTTCCATAGTGTAGAAAAGAAAAAAAAAAAAGTGACCTCACTCTAGTTTCTAAAAGAATGTATTTTTCTCATTCCTTGATATTCTTCATGGGTACCACTGACATGCTTGCCACCATTTCACTTTTTTCAATTAGGTTCACACGTGAGTACTCTGTTACGAGATATGACAGATTCTACAGACACCCAAACAGTATGACTTTTCAAAGTAATGAGAAACTTGTTCAAAACTTTTTTAAAATGTGTTAATTTACTTACTTATTTATTTTAGTTTTTTGAGATAGGATCTCACTATATTTTCCAGGCTAGCCTCAAACTCACTCATAGTGATCTAATCTCAGCTTCCTGGAAGATGGGATTATAAACGTGTGCCACCTGGCTTTAAAACATTTTTAAAGTTTTATTATAGTCAGAATTTAAAACATTTAAAAAAATAGTTTCACAGCAATTAATCTTCATTTTAGGGGGTGATTCTGACATGTTTTTAATCACCAAGTATACAGAAGTCACATCTTTAATAAATGCAGTAATTTATGCTCTTTCTTCTAATCTTAGATGTAGAACGGGGTGCTGCCTTTGATTTGGGTCTAAAAAGAATGGAATCTCATGGCTCCCAACAGGATAATCAGCGGATATATGGTGAAGATGAAGTAAGGAAAACAAAACAAACATGATTGAAGGGGGAAAAAAGGATCAGTTCTCTTAAAAATGAAAACTCAGGGGCAGGGGTACAGCTCAGTGTCATGGTGCCTGCCTGGCAAGCGCAAGAGTCTGGATTTAATTTCCAGTTGGGGGGGGCATGGTTTAAAAATGAATACTCTGCTGATGTGGCTGGCGATGCACACATGTAATTCCAGCACTCAGAAGGCTGAGGCAGGAGGATGGTTGCAAGTTCAGGCCAGCCAGGGCTGCACAGTGACACCCTGTCTCATAAAACAAAACAAACAAACAAAAAATGAAGATCCAAGCAGTGCTATTGAAGAATATAATGAACTGAACAGTCTGGGAGCAGGCAAGAGAAAGTTGGTAGTTACAGGCAATTTAGGTAAACAAAACAACAGAAAAAGCAATGTGTGTGCACACATACATGAGCATGTGCGCGTGAGCAAGTGCACATTTTGCAATCCCAGCACCCAGGAAGCAAGTAGTTTGAGGCTAGCCTGGGTCACACAGTGAGTTCAAGGCCAACCTCAACTACATGACAAGACCCTGTCTCAACCACAAAGAAAAATAACAGAAGAAAGGAATTCAACTCTTCCCTATTTCAAATGCTTATGACCTCATTCACTAGTTCCATCACAAACAACATAAGCTGCACACATCTGTACAAGCAACTGTCATCAAGACAGTTAACCAAGAGGTTATTACAGTCTTCTATAATTTCAAAATAACTTATATAAAGAATATATCATACCCAATTCAGAGAGTAGAACTATGTACTTTAACTCAGTTTCCAACAAGTCACAAAGATGAATTATATTTATCTTTTGCCTTCCTCTTTTGGCAAGGAACTCTTCCATTTTTTTCAACTCCCAAGTGTAGAAAGCTAATGTACAAATTCCACTGCCATGAAATAATTTACCAGAAATTATTTTCTAAGGAGAAAGAAACTGTATTTTAGATATATTTTAAAACATGTGTGCTGATACTGCTCTCCTCTAAAGTCTTAAAAATAACCATCAGAAACTGTTATTATTATCATATGTTCAATAAAGGAAAACATCTGCTGTTAGGAGGTCATTATGGTAGCCTAGAAAAATTAAAGTTTAAATGTTATCAAAATCCTCACAAAAACCAAAGATTTAACACTTCATTACCTTAAATATTTATAATATATGATAGATGCTTAATTTTTACAACATTGAACTTATCTTCTGAATTAAAGTAGTACCAGTTAAATGAACAAATACAACACATGCATGAATCTCAGTGTATATCATCAATATATTTGTAATGTTAACTAATGAGTCATCTCCATCAATACAAATTGCTCTATAACTAAAAAGTAGTATTAATTTCTTAACTATAAGTATTTTAAATTTACTAAAGCAAACAAACACATGAAGCAGGAGGAAAAAGGCTTATCTATTAATTTAGTAATCTAATTATCTATTAATTTAATACCTATCTTAAATAGCTCATAGCTTTAAAAAAATGTGTCAATAAGACAGTTTCACAGAGCTTCCCAGTTGGGCATTATTAAAACTTAGGTCTGTGAGATCTAAGACATACACACACTCTTGAAACTAATGTTTTAAAAACCTATATTGAGCCAGGCATGGTAATCCCAGCAGTCAGGAGAATGAAACAGAATAGCCAAAAGTTCAACGACAGACTGGACTACACAGTGGCTTAAGGCAGCCTGCACTACATAGCAAGACCCTGTCTCAAAAAACAAAAACAAAACAAAACAAAATCAACATGTACTGGATTACATTACCTATTCTGTTCTTTTCCATTTAATATAAATGCAATACACTACATAAACAGAAGCAAAGGCAATAATCACATGATCATCTCAACTGATGCAGAAAAAAAAAAACCTTTAAAAACCCAACATCCATTCATGATTTTTTAAAAAAAAACCTGAAGAAAATATACACAGAATGACTTCCTCTCCATCTGATAAAAGGCACTTATAACAAACCAATGGCCAACATAATATTAAATGGAGAAAAGCTAAAAGCTTTTCCTCTAAAATCAAGAACCAGACAGAAATATGCACCATTACCACTCTGATTCAATATAATTCTTGAGACATTAGCAACATCAATCAGCAAGAGATAAAAAGGGATATACATAAGAAAGGAAGAAGGCACACTATCATTATTTCCAGATGACATGCTCCTCTTCATAGAAGACTCAAAACATTCCACCAAAAGATTCCAAATACAGCAGTATGACATACATAGTGAACACACACACACACACACACACACCAAATCAATAATATTCCTGTACACCAACAGTAAACTCACTGAGAAATTAGGGAAACAATACCTTTCACAATAGCATCAAGAAAAATTAAACCTAACCAAGGAAATGAAAGACCTCTGCAATGAAAACTATAGTCCTCTGAACAGTGATTGAAGGAGATATCAGAAAATGAAATGATACTCCTTTTCCTATCCTTTGGACAGGTAGATACATAATCAAATTGACAATACTTCTCAAACTAATATACAGATATATATACAATCTCAATCAAAATACCAATAGCATTCCTCACAGAATTAAACAACCTTAAAACTCTTACAGAACCAGAAGAGACCTAGAATAGGGAAAGTAATCTTGGATAATGCATGCACATCCCAGACTTCAAGCTATACTACAAAAGTACTGTTATGGCTGTGTCTTGATACCCCTCTAAGGCCTTATGCAGTCATAGGTGAGGCTTTTCAGAGGTGGCTGGACCTAGCATATGTGATGCTGGGAATCAAGGGCGTATGATTAACTAAATTATTCCACTGATTGGTTTGGCATAACTTTGGGTAGGATTACGGGTACCCCACCCTGGGTGAGTTTTTACCCACCCCAATGGTGTGTGGTCCAGGTAAGATATAAGAGACAGAAAGAGAGTCCCTGTTTGTGGCTCTTGCTGCCTTCTGTCTACCCTGCTTTGCCATGGCCTGTTCATCTTCTGTGACGCTTTTCTGCCATGTGGCCTGGCTTTGGAGCCAGTCAACTATGAATTGAAACCTCTACAAACTGTGAGCTAAATAACCCTTTCCTCTCTTAACTTGTGGGAGTTGGGTATTTTGTCTCAGCACTGAGAAAACTAAGACAGGTACAATGATAAAAACAACGTAGTACAGGTCAAAAAACAGACATGCGGATCAATAAAACAAAATAGAGGATGCACATTCAGCTACCTGATCTTTGACAAGGGGAACTTATGTTGAAAGAAAGTTTCTTTAAAAACAAATGGTGAGGGGCTGGGGATTTAGCTCAGTGGCATAAGCGCCTGCCTTGCAAATGTGCGGTCGTGAGTTCGAGCCCTGGTACCGATAAAAATGAAATAGACAAAAAAAAAAGTGTGTGACTGGCTATCCACATGCTGAAGACTGAACCTAGACCTGTATCCCTCACTATATACTAAACTGAAATCCAAACAGATCAAACATCTAAACATTAAAATAGAAATGCTTAACTTGCTAGAAGGTAAAATAGGTAAAACTCTTGGAAAGCAAAGATGTAAGCAAGGTCTTTCTGAATAAACTCCAACTGCACAAGAATACCATGAACCAACAAGAGGGATCATATCAAATTTAAAGGTTCTTTACCTTTTTAAAGGAACGAAAACCACCAAAAGAGTGAAGAAACCTACAAAATGTGAAAAAAATGTTTTGACAGCTATTCATCAGAGAACAATTATCTAGAATATATAAAGAACTCAAAATAATTCAAACTCAAAATAAAAGACCCAAATGAAAATGGGCAATCAAAAGGAACTGACTTAATTTCAGAAGTATGAATGGCCAATAAATATAAGAATAAATGTTCAATATTGCTGGTCATTAGAGAAACACAAATTAAAACAAAGCTAAAATTATATCTTCAGAAAGAATGATTATTAACAAGAAATTAACGACAAATTTAGTGAGGCTGTAGGAGAGAAAAAAGAAACCCTATATTGTTGGTGGGAATGTAAACTGATAAAACCACTCTAGAGTCAGTACAGAGCTTGCTCAAAAACTCAAATTAGAGATTCCATTCTATCCATCCAGTCTCCTTCTAGACGTCTTCCTAAAAGGGTTAAAGACAACATATTTACACATCATAATGACACATGTGTTTTCAAAGCACAATTCACAATAACTAAATCTTGAAAGTAGCCTATGGCCATCAGCAGATGAAAAGAAAAAGAAAATGTGGTATTTATACAAAACTGAGTACTACTCTGCATAAAGAAGGGTAAACTTGAATCATCTCTGTAGGAAAAGGTATGCACAACATGGATGTCATCATCTTTCTTAAGTGAAATAAATCGGACACCCAAGCTTACATAGCACATGGTTTGTCTTATATGAGAAACCCAAACATAATAAAGAGCAAATTAAAAGGTAAATGCAAAATAAAAGATAATGAGGAAGGGGAGTTTCTTAGAAAAGATAATGGAGGGGAACTTCTTAGAAGAGTTCTTAAGTTTCTGTGAGTGTATTTCTGTACTTTGTGATGACTGTGGCATTTGACAGCTTTTTAAAAAAATCTTTATAGACTTTACTCTCTCTTCAGTATCACATCACTTTGTATTTTTGTCAAGTAAATCAGTATTTGGATGGTGGGTTACTGCTTCTGAGAAACTGTGATTACAGGAGGCATGTACTTAGTAAAATTTAAAAACCCAATCAATATAAATGTGCATATTTTAATTTTTCTAAAACCTGAAACTCAATTTTTTTAAAAAAGCAGTAAGTTATTTTCCATATGCAGTGCATTAATTTTTCCTATTCTAAGACATGTTTTAAGGCTCATCATAATCCACTAAATCAATTTCTCGACCCTGTATTAAATGAGTGAACCCAGATGGGGTGGTGCATACCTGTCAGACCAGCACCCAGGAAGATGAAACAGGAAGATTACAAGTCTGGCCTAGCCTGATGTAACTGTGACTCAGCAACACCCTGTCTCCCCCCCCCCCTTGCACCCCCCCCCAAAAAAAACTTTTTAAAAAGGGTATGTATACAATTCAGTGAAAAGCCCTGACTCAGTCCACTGTAGTCTAAAACAGGAGGCAGAAGCAAAAGAATTGTCGCAAGTTTTAGACCCACTTGGGCTACAAAGTGAGCAAAAGGCCAGTCTAAACTGCATAGTAAGACTCTATCTTCAAAAAGACCAAAGTGGGGATGGGGGAGAGAAACAGCTTCAAAGAAAAGAAAAATCACATTTGCAGTGTAAAAGACAAAAAGTTACAAATGTCTAATGTCCACCTTCTTTCCCAGATGAGAAAAAGGACAAAGAATTAAAAACTTCAAATAATGATGGCTTGCTTTACTTTGTAAAGATCATAGGTAGAAGGCTGAGAGTCAGTACAGGAAAAAACAATAGTACCCCCCCCCAAAAAAAGAAATGCTAATTTGGCACTTAATACTCATCACTATCACTGTCAACCTATTACTGTTTCCTACATATTCAACCCTAGACTAACCAAATGTACACAATTATTTAGCAGCATCAGTTATATAAACTGACGATAGACTTATGCTACATTTCCATACATACATTGGTATTTTTCCAGATCATTCTTACTACCTGTCAAAGCAAGCATTAGATATAAAACACAGGTTATTTGACCTTTAAGCTTTTAACCACAAACCTGTAAACTTCCAATAAGAACAGTAGTTGGGAGCCAGGCACAGTGGTACCCATACCTGCCTGTACTCCCACACTCTGAGAGGCTGAAGCAAGAGATCACAAGTTTGAGCCCAGCTAAACAATTTAGTGACTTAACAAGAACCTGTGTCAAAATAAAAAGTTTAAAAGGGCTGGAGATGTAGCTCAGTACAAAAGCCGTGGGTTCAATGATCAGCTTTGCACAAAAAAAATTTAAAAGTTGGGGGCTGCAAACTGGCTGCGCATCCTCTCTGCAGTTCAAATGAAAACAAACAGAAGCCCAAATACTAGCCCAGAAAGAAATTTGCAGCTTGAAGTAACAAGTACTATAGAGAAATATATTCTATAAACAATGCACTGTAGACTATCTTTAAATCATTACGCTTGAAAATATCATTTTTTAGCAGGTAGACTATTAATCAAACACAAAATTGAAATCAGTGAGTTGAAATCAGTGACTGCTTTGGCTGATAAACAGACGACTCTACCCTGAAACAGGATTAGACTGTCTTTATGGGGCAGATTTTAATATAAAAGTTTGTCTTAGCTTTAAAAATTAAATTCCACTAAGAATTTAATGCAAGGATCACGATGAAAAGACCTTAACATAAGGTGGCCTGAAAAAATTATGGGCTATACCCTCATATTTCTATTCAATTTTCTGTCCATTACTTAAACTTCCACTTTCCCAACATACTTTCCTTATTACCTAACTGGTAAGTAATTCTAAACTTTACGTAACATTTATGAATTCAGCATTCTGAGTTGGTCTACTATTATTCTTCAAAACTTTTAGTTGCAACTATAGTACAATATTAGGTTCCGAAGACTTTGAATTTAAAAAGTTCTAACTGTATCATTCAGGTAAATTTTATGCACATAGTAGAGCTAGGGATTTAGGTCAGTGGCACAGTACCTGCCTGGCAAGCACAAGGTCGTGAGTTTGATCCTTCTGGTACTACCAAAAAAAAAAAAAAAGTTATGCATATAATAAGCTGAAGAATTTCTGGTAGCCGAATTTATTATGAAGCCTATAATTACCACTCCTAGTAACTACAAATAACAGCAAGACTACACATAACACATGAATATATGTACACACAAATAGACAAGTCACAATATTATTCAAATCATTTTCATCTGAGTGAAAACTTCATACTAAAAAAAAAAAAAAAACTACTAGAAATGGCCCAAGTAAGAATTATTTTGTTGGTCATATGAACACTCCAACTTCACGAAGAATTTATCCACCTGGTTCTAGCCCAAGATACCACGAACCTATAGCATTGCTGAGAACTAGTTCATGATATAAACCAGAAAGGTAATTACAGACTAAGACATGAATAATCTCTAAAGTATTTGCTGAAAGAAATTACAACTCATTGCTATTAAAACCTAAGGAAAACATTTACCCCCATGTTGTCATTTTCATTGTGAACCTTCATTTGAGTATGTGTCCACCTTTCTTTACCAGTCTTTTAGGTTAAGCTCCACAAATCTATATGCCAATTATGTCTTCAATTTTCTTCCAAAGCAATATAAACATTTACCCCTTCCATAACTTTATCTCAAAAACAAAAAGCTTCAAACATAAAACATAATTTTTTAGCATATACTACTATCATAAACCCATAATCATATCTGCAATCTAAAATTAAAAATGCCTTAAAATATGCAATAATTAAATACAGACTCTTGAGTGTTCATTCTACTCATGACCTTAGGTTCACTGGGAGAGTTCTAAAGCATACCTTTTAATCCACGCCATGGTACTTCAAGAACATGTTAAGGAAAGTCACAGCTTGGAACACTTCGATGCACCTCAAAACACCTCAGCCAGTATCTGTATCACACTCCTTTTCTTTTGAGATCATAATGGTTCCGAAGAACTATAATGCTTCCATTTGAATGAGAGTCTCATAATTTCAATGACTTAAAAACAAAAACAAAAAATAAGGCTTAAGTGTTGGTATGTTAAGGCACTAGTGCACTGTGTCAACTGCTGCCTTGACTAAGAAAAATGTTTTGCTAGTATCGTGTAACAGTCATTTTCATTGTGAACCTTCACTTGAGTATGTGTCCACCTTTCTTTACCAGTCTTTTAGGTTAAGCTCCACAAATCTATATGCCAATTATGTCTTCAATTTTCTTCCAAAGCAATATAAATAACCTAAAAAGATAGTCTGAAGACTTCTGTCTATCTCTGAATCACAAAATTTTTTCTAAGTTCAGTAAGAGCTGGAAATAACCAACATCCCTGTATTAAATAAAAGAAATTTGTTTAGAGATAGAGCAGATTCCTTCAAATGCCACTACTCCTGGTGTTAACATTAATGAATCATTTAATTGCATAGAAGTCACTGAAATAAAAACAGCTCCAGTCCCTAAAGCTTATTTTTGTCACTAAAGTGTATGTAATTGAACAGATAGGTAGCAATGTATCATGAAATACATATTTGGTCGTTAATCCTTGTTTCTGGCATACATCTCCTAAAATCCTTGGACTCTTCTGCAATAATTGTCTTTTTTATGCTAATGAGTTGACAGATGGTTGGGAGCTTCCAGGTAGCTTCTCAAAGGGAAAAATCAAGAAAGATCTGGCAGAATTAGTTTTGTAACTTCATCCCCCTCCCCACAACCTCTGGGAAGGGGAGAAGGTCTGATTAAGTTGAATACTAATGGCCAATGACTTAATCAATGAAGTTATAATGAGGCCTTCATTAAAAACAAAAGGACAAGATTTAGAGAGCCAAACATGTGGAAGTTCTTGGATGGTATGTACTGTGCCCAGAGAGAGCACAGAAGCTCCAAGTCCCTGCGTCCCACACCTTGCCCTATGCACCTCTTCAGCTGGTATTCATCATACCCTTTGTAATATACTGTGTAATAAACCAGTAAGTGTAAGTAAAGGATTTTTCCAGTTCTGAGCTGATGCAGGCAACTAATAAAACTCAGGTGGGGTTTAGAAGCCCTGGGTCTATCAGAAATACAGGTAACACCATCTGGTGCTTGTGATTTGTATGGCAGGGATGGGTAAGTGACTTCCGGGGGACTGACCTTTCAACCTGTGGGATCTGCTTTTAGAACTGAAGTGAACTAGAGAGCAATCAGTGTCTGCTGGAGAACTGCTTGTTCACTTGGCATGTGTGGGAAAATCCCATGTACAATGGGTTACAGAAGTCTTCTATATTAATTGTTTAGTGTAAGAACAGAGGAAAAGTTTTCTACTAAGTGGCTGATCATCAAATTTTACTGTCAAATCTATGATTGTCTTGGCAGGTATCTGTGTCTTCCCTCTTTACCCTGCCTTGCCATTCTTATATAAAAACATTTAAAACATTTCATTTTTAATTTCATTTTTAATACACAGTAAGAAAAACATGTAACATTTTAAATCTAAGAATTTATACTGCAGTTGGGCATGGTGATACATGCCAGTAATCTCAGCACTCAGGAGGCTGAGGCAAGAGGAATGTTGGGAGTTCAAGACCAGTGGGCTACAAAGTGAGTTGAAGACCAACCTAAACTGTATAGTGAGACTCTGTCTCAAAAAAACCTAAATAAATAAAAGAATTTACACTGTAGCTGCTGCAAGTTTATGTAGTTACTAGGAAGACTACTTAGACAAAGTAAAACTAAGCAATAACTTATCAAGAAATATATACTTTATTGTCATAAAGCAACTAAGACTCCTTGAAGGTGAGTGATCAGAAAATTTTCAATAAAGTTAACCCATAAAGAGGGATTGCCTGGAAAGCAGGTGAGAAAAGTTCTCTTAGACTCTAGGCATACTGAACAGCTGATGCAAAGTTTTATACACAAACAGCAGAGAATAACAATTTCTCAGCTCCTAAATAACACATGCTAAGGAGAAAGTGAAACTATTTCCTGTGTGAATACAGAGGCAACTGCTAAAAATATTTCAAGGCCAGTGTCAGAAAAATGAAACATTTACAAAGAGTTAAACTTCTATAGGTTGCAAGGAATGCATATTACAAAATGGAGACAATTTTGCAGGAAGCTAATAATGGTAGCACAATTAATTACATACAGCAAAGATGTGGTTCAGAACAAAAAGTAACTAATGAAGAAAAGAAGCAATTTCTAATGAAATCCCTCCTGGTTTGCAGCCACAGTCATTCTTAAATGGATGATTTTACCACCTGGCCTCTTCCTACTCCTGCTTCAAACCAGTGAATGGTTCTGTACATGTACGGGTATGTGTATGTGCGTGTGTGTGTGTGTGTGTGTGTGTGTGTGTGTGTGTGTATGTCTAGCCGTCCATCTCCCAGATGAACATCACATTGTTTCCCAGCCTGCTCCTCCAAATAAAAGTACCCTACCCCATTAATGCTCCTGAAATACAGCTCTTTCCTTGCATGGAAAACAATCTTTACCACTGAAAAGTGAATCAAGATTAGACAGTAAAAAATAAAGCCTAGGTCTAAAGGACTTACTACTCCATTTAATATTTAGAGCCCTATTTTACAGAGAAGACATAGTACTCAAATGACTGACTCAAGAACTACGTATTATAAAATAAAAGAAGTGGGACAAATCCAAATCTTTTAGCTACAATTTCAGCATTTCTATTCCTCCTATAATACTGTTGCAGAATATTACGGGGAGAGAAGAGTAGTGCTGGTGCTAAAATTTGTTAATACACCAACTACTATCTTACATACTTGATGGTATTTTATTTCATTCTGATCTATCTTCTTTTACAAGTGAAGAGTAAGACTCAAAGGAGTTTAAGTCAACTGTTCATTATAAGAGACTATCACATAAGAGACTAAAAGTAGTAGGCCAGATATCTGATCTCATAATGTTTAAATATAAAACTCATGTTGCTATACCAATCTTTCTTCCAGAAGCAACCAAAAGAAATTAAGTTAAACACTAAGTTTATTTCTTAAGGGAGCTAATATTTCAACAGACTAATTATACAAATGTTTCTTATATAAAAGCTGATCAGTTTTGTAAATCAAAACTAAAAACAGTTAACTATGCTTTAGCAAAAGACTACACACATTTACTAAAGCCATTAAGAAGACTTAACACTGAATTTTACTCAAATTAGAAATTTCACTTGACTCCAACAAATGAAATCGATTTTCTCATTATGTATCTGACAACCTTTAACAACTTCAATCATGGAAGCTATTAACGTGAAATTCTGTTGACAAAACAAAAATGACCATGAAAGGCATTTTCTTTGCAAAGGTGCACTACCATAGTTCTTCAGCTTTGTCTTGTTCCAGAAACTGCTGCAGGTGTTATCCTCATAAGAAAAGAAATCACTTACTAGCTGAGGAAGGTTAAGCTATGCAGTCAAGTTATCAGTGATAATAAAAGAAATACAGAAGGGATAGCTCCTTACAATGCTTCAAATAATGATTAAGATAAAACAACAAAAGCCACTGACAAAAATCTCCCCAAATTAAGGACAGGAAACTTGTAGATGTGAGTGTAAACTTAGCATGGCATTCAAAAACTGATTACACAACTACTAGATAAAACGTTTGGTTAACAAATTAGATAAATAAACCATTAGACATCATTTGTTAAAATGCTAAAACAGTCTTGCAGAATTACCACATATAAAGGTTTAAAATCTGATACAGTAAAAAACAATGGTCATTTAAAAAATATCTTTACAAAAACCAGGCATGGTGGCACACTCCTGTAATCCCAGCACTTGGAGGCTGAGGCAGGAGAATCATTTGCAAGTTCAAGACCAGTCTGGGGTACAAAATGAGCCTAAGGCCAGCCTGAACCGCATAGCAAGATCCTGCCTCGAAAAGACAAAAAAATATTAAAAACAAAAAATAAAAATATCTTCACTACTAACAATATAAGTTTTCTGTATAAATAAAAGCATCAATGTCCAAAACAATGGATTATAACAGAAATGGCCATCAGAATTTTAGAGATTCTGATGCCAATCAGAAATTAGTTACGAAGTTAATAAATATTTAAAAGCTCTATGCAATTGTTTATAAAACATTTTATGCCATGTTGTCCTTTTTCAGAAGAAACAGAAATACAATTCCAAGTCAGTTATTAAGGCTTCCTCCAAACACTGAAGTCCAAAGAGGATAATGTTGGTCTTTCGTCTGCAAACCTTTAATTTCATTTACTTTTTTTTTTTTTTTTAACTGAGAATCAAACTCAGGACCTTGCCCTTGCTTGCCAGGCAGGCATTTAGGCTGCTGAGCTGTATCTCCAGCCTCAAATCTTTAAATTTTAACAGTAAAGCCCGAATACAGTAAGCACTATGAACAAGTGAAAATGTTACACAGCTATTTTGCATACATGAATGAAAGCTTAATATAGAGTTCATGATGGCAAACCGTGAAATGTGCTCTAAAACACAGTGGGAAATAGAGGTATAGCTCAGTGGCACAGGTGCCTGCCTGCCTTACAAGTAGAAGATCCTGAGTTCAATTACTGGTATCAAAAAAGAAAACACAATGGCACAAAATATTTGTTGAAATGAATGGCAGTAAACATGAAGGAATGAGTTCTATAAGAGAAAGAGGAAAACAACTCACTGCTAGACAATAGTTAGAATTTAAAATGCTCCTCGGTATAGTCAATTTCTCATTTTTAAAATTAACTTGTTTGACTTCCGGGAGAACATGGCGGACAGATAGCAGCAGCTACGGAGGCTCTCTGAAAGACTCAGCTTAGAATTCAGGAATGGTGCGGACTAAGGAGTCATAAGCAGGTGGAGATATGCTCTGCTGACCCAGGAACGAACTGGGCTGAGAGAAACCAACTTGGAACGCAGTTCTGGTGCTAGAACAGGAACAGAGGGGCCTCAGTGTGGAGGCTGGAGCCCGCACCATTGGAGGCCGCGATTTGGGTTTCCCGCCGCACGGCGGCTGCGTCTACATCGGCTCAGCAGGCAGAGAGATGCGCGGAAGCTC